GACAGGATAGGGAAGAAGAGAGGGAGGGAAGGATGGTCAAGGAGCATGGAGAGCAGGTTGAGTGAGGGTAAGATGAAGAGACTGTGAGGGAGGGGGTTGGAGAAGGTTGTAGCTAACAGTCAATCATTGCAGGGAAGAGAACGCAAATGTCCAGAATCAAAACATAGAAAATGCTCTGACATCATCAGTCCTTGCTGCAGAACTGCTACTTCTGTGTTCTCCTGCTAACTTTGGTTTCCTTGGCACAAAGGCCTGGCTCATCTCTGGAACTCTTCTTCCCCCAGCTCACGTGGCTCAGGGAAGAGGGGCCTCCCACCAGAGTGGATGTCAAAGTAGCCACTAGAGCAGTAGTATCAGTAGATCGCTAAGCCCTGTGACAAGGGTATAGCTTTTTCTAATACTGACCCAGGAAATGTACATCTATTGGGCCCATGATAACTAATCATACCCGACTTGCATTTTAGCTAGATATGTCTGTTAAAATTAGCAGCAGTCAGCTAGCTAACAATGATGATCAGGATTCAGCATTAATACCTCATTAGGAGGAATAGGGTTAGTTTACACCTCTCAGAGTTATTGTTTCAGGCTCTGTGTTGATCCAGATGTCATCCATTCATATTCAGAAGGTTTCCACTGTGATCACATGGGCCTTAAAATAGGGTGACCAGATGTCCCGATTTTATAGGGACAGTCCCGATTTTTGGGTCTTTTTCTTATATGGGCTCCTATTACCCCCAACCCCCGTCCCGATTTTTCACATTTGCTGTCTGGTCACCCTAGCCTTAAAACTTTTTTTTTCCCCAACAAAAAGCTCAAATTCTGCAAAGAATGTCAGAGTTAACATGGGTTGTACAACAGATGTTTAATATATGTATATAAAGTACCACTAGCCAAAAATAAGAACTATTTTAGAACTGAAAGTATATTTTATTGTTAAGTCTGAATATAATTGATGGGGGGACGGAGGGAAAGCAAATATAATTGCAACAGCCACAAAATGACAACACTTATTAACAATAATTCTCCTAAATATTGTCTAATTTGATCTTATGAAATAAATGTTTCTTCGTGATGCTTTCTTGCTGAATATAATGCAGTGATGTGTCTCCTTCATTAGGAGGATAACACTATTTTCCTGTCCAGTTATATTTCCCATTTTGACCATTTAAAAAAAAATCTTAACTTTTAAGAAAAATTACTTCATTACACTGCCTTCCTGAAAAGCTAGGGGATTTGTTATTTGTCCTTAGGGCACAAAAATACAAACAATGTCTGTGAAGAACCCATGTTACTTTGTCTTGATGACTGTAATTTCTATCTTATTTACAACCTACTGCACTGTTGACACTTGCCTTCCTAAATGATTCAACTGCTCTAATAAAGTAGTCCCTCGTAATGGTAACACAGTTAAAAACACAAGACCAAATTGTAAATTTTAACAGTGAGTACCCTAAGAAAATTAACTTGCAAATAAACTGGACTGAGATTTAATGTATTAAAGTGCAAATTTTTCTAGACTTAGAAATTATATTAAGTGCTTGAAAAACACTACATCTCTGATCTTTGTTTATGGTTTGTGGAAGACATAAAACCTTACTTATGTCTCAGCATTGTTACCTCTGAAATGCTACCAGTGGGCAATATCTCATTTTTATCAGGGGCACTACTCCAGATTTGACATATTTCTTCCCTGGTGCCTTTGTTTGCCTCCAGGAGGTTTTGTACTGTGACAAGTACACCAGAGCACGTTTTGTTTTATTAGTAAATCATGCAGGAAAGTGTCAATTAAACAATGAAAATCAACAAAACAGAGCAGAATATTTTGTTACAGTTCACAATACTATGTAGTGATTTACAAAAAAGACCCCCTTGTTAAATTGATTTCTTAAATGTTGGGATATGTTTGTGGGACTTAAATAGTAAACATTGTTCTTTTAAAGCCCATACGGTAATTATTAGTATTTTCTACCAACCTGCCTTTGGCCAGAACATTATCCATTCAAATACTAACCAACGAATCAGCATGCTCCATCTTCCATCACTGTGTGCTCAGGGTTAGCAGGCTGTATATATCTGAGACATTGTCCAATACATACAAGTGTTAAATTGATGTCTCTTTCATGTAGATTAATTATGGCACACAACTTTAGGAACACAAGTGTAGATATTATTCTGTAAACTCTCAGCAAATCAGTGGAATTGTCTCCAAAATATTATACAAGTTGCAATCTTGAGTGCATAGATCCTTAAATTACAATAATAATGGAGAATTGTAGTAGGCTTGTGTTTCCTGCAAAATTGGTGAGGATTTGTGAAAGATTACGGTAAATGAAGCTGAAGAGCCTCAAACCATCTCTCACGATTGACCCAACTGAAGTCGCAGTGGGACATTGTAAATGAACCAATTCAAAATAAAATGCTTTCTGAGTCATTCACTAGAGACATACTATAGGGTGGAATTCAGCCTTTGAGTACATATGGGAAACTACCTAATGTAACTCAATAAGGCAACACATGAAAAGCCACTTTTTATTTTGAGATTCATTCCTCCTGAGCATTTCAGAGGCTTTCAGGTAGCGTGAATTTCCACAACACATACTAAAACAATCTACAGTACCTTAAGAGTAGCTACTTCTTTTTTTTCTAGTCATGCATCATCAAGAACTCTTCAAACAAATTAATTGAACAGAGATTCACTGAATAGGTCTAACTTCTGCAATATTATTATGAAAAAATAAGTAATTTGTTGAAAGAAAACAGTTGTAGTACATAAATTGATAGTTATTCCAAAGACATGTATATACTCGGTTTCATCATAGGAAATAGATAATGCTGTTTATGTTTCTCAAAATCCAAAGCAGCTAATTGACATTTGTAACATCTCTAGAGTCTTGTGAAAGAGCATTCTCACTTGGGAATGAGCAGTATTTATCTTCTGTGAGAGAATCATGACAGGGAAGCCCTGAGAAAAATCACATAAACACCATATAACAGCTAGGACTAAGGACTAGTTCTTGGTCACAAGCAACTGACTAATAGGAGAACTCTCAGTTAATCAAATTACATATTACTTACTGTACATTAAAAGAAATTGCTGTAGTATTAGCTTAAAACCCCAATTTCTGCTTACAAGAAATAAACGGACCTAGCAGAATAACATAGAACTGCAGAAAAAAATTGATTCATAGCAGGTAAATTTTTCCCATGTTGGTATCTGATATCTTATTCATATACAATGTAATTAAATAATGATCATATCACAGGAATCAAGACAATCAGCACCATAGCAAATTCTCTGCTTCTGTCTGTGAGTGTAGTACATTTGGTCGTATGGAGCCTCCTCAAATCTCCAGGAGAAAAATAAAGGCAATTCTGAGGGCTTGTCCTCACTGCAGAGTTACCTTGAGTTGTAACTTAAGGCTGTTGTGTTTGGACAGCATCTGAGTTAGGGGCAACACAACTCAACAGCAGTGGTGCTTTTAATTCAAGCTGGCTGTCCCATCGGGGGCATGGGCGACAGCTTGAGTTAGCACAACTTATCAGCTGATAACAATCATTCTGTGCAACTAATATAATCACTCTGTGCAGCTCATATGTTGTTTTGAAGCATAGCCACTCTCACTTTAGAGGAATTAACTCAAGTGTAGATAAGATAAGTTAACACTGCAGTAAAGAGGTAGCCCAAGAGTGCAAACTTGCAGTTCTCTATGTCCCTTATGCAGGAATAGCCCAGGTAGGGGGATGATAAAGTACTGGGATAGTTTTTGTATATGGAACAGTTGATATACTGCAAAGCAAAGTTCAAATGTAAAAGGCTATTAAAAATTATAGTAGGGACTGTCTATAAACTACATAACACTTTTTGGTGATTTTTTTCAAGACTCACCCACCCCTTGTACCATTGAAACAAACATGCAAAATTAAGGACCCACCTACACCCTAATGCATTATTCACCAGATGTTACTGGAGAGGGAAATATGACTGAATTAAATCTTAATCCTTTTCAAAACAATCTATTTTTAAGCAAATACATCGTCACAGTAAAACTCTGACACTTCTGCACAGTCTGTAACAAGTGTCATGGCCTCATAGTTCAACTAAATGGACTTGTTCACCATGAAGAGCCCCTGCAATTTGAATCCAAAGCCAAACAGGACAGGAAATTGTTTTGCTAGTCAGTCTTCCTTTTGTGAATTAGAAATGTGTTTGAATCTTTGGCTTACATTCAAACTGCTTTCAGCTTTGACGATGCCAAAACACCTACAATATCACTGCACATATACAGCACCAATTGCCAAATTTTACAACCAAAATTCAGTGTAGCAAGGCTAGTCCACATGAAAAGTTAACTAACAGAGCAAATTAACCAACTATAAACAGACTGCCTTTAAAATGATCTTTGGGGATAGAACATGATGTGGCTTTTCAGCCTCTAAGAACTTCTTTACATTTTTACTCAAAGTACAAGTGTACTATTCCACCTCTTCTGGTTGACCTGTATATTCAAGATTTAGATGTGCATACAAGTAAATTTGCTAGAAAAGATATAGAGGTAATCCTATGTAGTTTCACAGAGGAGACAGTGCCATAGCCTATATTTATATCTTTTGTGTACTTCTAACCTGTTAAAAGGAAGGAGTGACTTTTCGTTCCAGGCTTTACTTTCAGATACTATTTGTAACAAGATACGTATGTTTCTTATTACTACATTTGAGACTTGAGCACTAAGAAAGGTTAATTGTCTGTGAAATATCTCAGATGTATACATCTGCCTCGCTTGTTATTAAAGCAAAATGCTACATGTCAATATTGTACTTTAAGAAGTCTAGTCAGTCAGTCTGGTCCATCCCTGAAAGTTTATCAGATCTAGCTAATTTTCATTAAGTACAAATTAGTGATTGTAGGTTCTAAGAAACATTTCTTAAGTTAAACATTCTAGGCCTGGCTTGATATAAGTAACTTGTTTAATTTCTTTTTCTCTCTTTCTTTCTTTCTTTCCTTTTTTTTTTGTGAAAAACTGATCTTTATTTTCCAGAAATATACAAACTTATTCTCTCATTTCTCCATCTTCTTCATCTTCTACTCCTCTGATGTACAGGACGTTGTTACATCTTATCAAAACTTCACCAAGGTGCCCTGACAATGCACCATTTATGTATTCTTCTGTGTTTGCAAGCAGCATGTTCATGTAGCCGTCGACAGACACCAGGTAGCCCTTGTACTCCATCCCCCACTTCAGCTTCACCATCACCAGCTTCCCTGTCAGCCCGTTCAGGAAGGGCTTGGGATTCAGAGGCAAGCTCATGGTAATGCGGCCTGGCACAAGGCAGTGGTAAAATAAAAAATTACTCGCAGTGCCGCACATGCGCCCGCTGGAGTCTAAGAGAAAGGCATGATGAGGAAGGTGAATGGAAGATTATCATAACAAGCAGTATGATGGAGTGAGGATGGCTAGCTAAGATCAGCAGGAGCATCCTGGTATTAGTAAACAAGCCTAAATGTAATACTAGGTAGAGGTCATATTATGCATGAACAGTGCATGGACGGAGCATGCTGTACAGGGATTGGTTCCTACTAAGTAACCAAGCCAATTCCAAAATGTGTGATGCAATGTATAGTAAATGCAATGCAATGTGTAAATATATATAAAGGAAGACATTTTCTGTGTAATGCTGGATGTGTGGTACACCTTGTACGTACCCACCCGCTATGTTTCAGTCTGGTCAACTTAGCCTAGCTTTGCTGTATGCCAAATAAACTTACCTGAGTGATGAAATATGGAGTTGAACTGAGTCCTTGGGTAGCCTAAGGCAAAGAGGTCTCAGAGGGAATCCCAACAAGCATGGCCATGAGAACACAAGCTTATGAAACCTCATGGGCTATCCAGTTTAACCCAACTACTTATATAGTTGTGGTGATCAGTAACACATTACTATGTTCTTTGTTGTTAAGTACAGTATATCTCTCGTTCATTTTTAACATGCCCTCTCTACTAGTTGCTTCTCCTGCTACCCTTGTCAACGTAACTTTCCTTTTCTGCAAAATGTCTCTGGCAACTAGTTTCAGATGGGAAATGACTGATGTGATTAATTGTCCATACTAATCCTAGCAGTACTTGCAGTTCTGATATCTTGTGTGTTCCAGGACCCTCCAATGATTCTTCATATTACTCAATAACCACAACATAGAGCCTTTGTGGAGCCCTGCTAGGTGCTAGGTCTAAAAATAGTGAACATAAGAACAGCCATATTGGGTCAGATCAAAGGTCCATCCAGCCCAGTATCCTGTCTGCCAACAGTGGCCAATGCCAGGTGCCCCAGAGGGAGTGAACCTAACAGGTAATGATCAAGTGATCTCTCTCCTGCCATCCATCTCCACCCTCTGACAAACATGGGGTAGGGACACCATTCCTTACCCATCCTCGCTAATAGCCATTAATGGACTTAACTAGATAAATTCATAGAGGTTGTCTTTTAAACCCTGTTATAGTCTTAGCCTTCACAACCTCCTCAGGCAAGGAATTCCACAAGTTGACTGTGCGCTGTGTGAAGAAGAACTTCCTTTCATTTGTTTTAAACCTGCTGCCCATTAATTTCATTTGGTGGCCCCTAGTTATTATATTATGGGAACAAGTAAATAACTTTTCCTTATTCACTTTCTCCACACCCCTCATGATTTTATATACCCCTTTCATAGCCCCCCTTAGTCTCCTCTTTTCCAAGCTGAAAAGTCCTAGCCTCTTTAATCTCTCCTCATATGGGACCCGTTCCAAACCCCTAATCATTTTAGTTGCCCTTCTCTGAACCTTTTCTAATGCCAGTATATCTTTTTTGAAATGAGGAGACCACATCTGTATGCAGTATTCAAGATGTGGGCGTACCATGGATTCATATAATGGCAATAAGATATTCTCAATCTTTTTGTATTTACCAGCAACTGGACACAGATGTAGCTGGGTATCATAACTGAATGCAACAGCTACCTTTTGAAAAGTCCTGTAGTTGACTATGCAGAAGATCCAGGAAGCTAGGGCACCCAGAGCAAAGGCTGAATTTTCCAAACGGCTGAACCACCCACGGTCAGCTTTGAAAACAAAAAAACAAATTCCCAGGTCCAGATCTGAGATTTCTATTCAAATTAAATCCTTAGCCAAACTTCAATTAGACGCCAGAGTGCTGTTTCATTTCTTTGATATTCGTTGAGAAAATTGCAGCGAAAGCAACTTTCATGCATTTTAGTACATTCAAATTTAGTTGAAGTGAACTCTAGCAGCTTAAGACTGAAGATTTTCGTAAGAGTTTATTAGATCTTTGCCCTTCTTAAGTAAAGTGTATCCCAAAGGTCCCGCACAAGTGAATTATTACTATTAGTTGGTTACGAGTGCTCTGATATTACTGTTACACGTTCAGTGATAAAATTAAGAAAGTAATTGACTGAGAGAAATTCCATCCAAGACTATTAAGAGGAATCTAGGGAGAATGACGTTCCTCTTGTAAAGTACTGACTTGAATATGCTGAGTGCACAGATGGAATACTTTATATTTACCATTTGAATATGAATTAGTATTTAAAATTTAGATCTGTTTTTTAACTAGTCGACATGGAAATGTCTTTTTTGAATGTTTTTTTTCTGCTGCAAACACAGAGTATCTATGGCAAAAGAGCGCATCCACAGGCTTTGTTTGTTCTGCTTTAAGCTTGTGAGTCATAGCGTCCACACAGCTCTGTACTTTTTCAAAACATCTGCCCAGCATTCTAGGCAGATATCACATGATGCAATTTTCTACTGCTAGGCTCTGTGCACTCTTGGATTTTTCTCACAGTGCATTGGGAGATGCCTACCTGAATCGACTTGAATTCGGGGATTTTGGGTCAAATTAAACTACTCCCACGATTCCTCTCCTGGCATTCCATAATTTATCTGTGTTTTGTAAGTCATTGCCATTTTTGAACTGCTGTCACGCAGCATAGAGACCATACAGCTGAGCACCACGATCCTGACCATAGTTAATATGAATAGGCTCCTCCACATGCATTAGTGTTCATGCAGCTGGATGACTTTGGATGGGTTGTGGAGGAAAATAGGCCACATTAGATATTGGTGAACTTTGGTATTAAATTGTGTGGGGATATTTCATGAGCAATAGGCCCAAAACATGTGACCAAAAAGAATGAGATCATGAGAAAGAAGAGCGGTTGTGGTGTTAAACGTGCAGTGACCCTTTGAAATATCAGTGATACCTCATTTAAGATTTGGGTTGAAGTAACAGAAATAAAACACAGTTAATTGGGTACCAGATGTAGTAAATAATTGGCTATATAAGAAACTGCTTCCTCTGGCCTTAGCTAAGGTTGGATAATTGGCAATGACATAATTTGTTTGTTAAAGGGTATAAAAAAGTAAACTCTTAAAAGGTTCATTGCTAATACCTGCCTGATCAAGTTGGAGCCGACCAATATGGGCCTAAGTACCCTGGGTTTAGCCCATTTGTAAGTATTTTGATCAAATGCATATAAATGTTTTGTCACTCTTTGGTTATAGTAAATTGCTTACTTAGGCTTTTTAAGCATGTTCAGAGCAACTGCATAATACCATTCAGCCTTTGGATTTAATAAAGGAATTTATGATTACATTATTATTCATGCAGGGTATTACCATGACACTAATTCCAGCAGGTTAGGAGACAGCCACCATAATGCTGTGATGATTTGAGTAGAGGTGGAGATGGGGATGAAATCAAGCAGTTACTTCTGCAGGCCATTTTCTTGGTGCGGCTTCACTCAGTGCAAAGCTGCTTCTGGGTTCAGCAAACAAGTACTGCCTGGTGGGAAAGGATAGTGCTGCAGACCTAGAATGACCAGTTGTGGTGGCAGAGCTTCAGGAGGACAAAGGCTACTTTCCTAGAAGTCTGCAGAATTCATCCCAGTGCTGCCGTGATAGAACATCCAACATGAGGGTGCCTCTCAAAAGGGAGATAAATGCAGCCATCACCATCTTCCATCACTGGAAGATTACCACCACTGATTACTACTGGTCAATAGCTAACGAGTTTGGTGCTGACAGATCAACTATCATGATTGTCCCGATTCCAAGCCCCATTGCTCTAACCACTACACCCATTGTTCTACAGGTTCATGTGGCAGCATGGGGCATGGCTGCTCTAATGGCTGTATACTTGCCATGAGCTAGAATCACAAAGATGCGCACATGGCTTCATGCCAGCATTTAAACGGGGAGGTGACATATGTTGAAGATGACACTGTAACAATAGAGGGCAAACAGGTACACAGGCCGATCCAGATGAGAAGCTATGCATTATGGGGTAGCAGTGGAAGGATTCCCAGAAGCCAAACAGTTCATCTAAAATATTTCAGCGGCTATATGCATCCATATGAACATTATCCCCCCAAAAACTCATTCCAGTATAGAATTATTTTACTCCCAAAGCAGATTAATTAATATGATATAAAATGCCAGATAATTAAAAAAAACTTGTGTGTGGACAAAAGGCAATTTACCACCCCACCCTACCTCCCCCCACCCCCCAAAAAATACCCATGTAGACAAGGCCTACGATTTCTGTCCATTTTGCTAAAGGAGCAGCTCCACTAGCTCAAGGCTGACCGGGCTCTCTTTTCTAACCTACACTTCATTACCACTTATAGTCTTCATCCAGCAGCTAGTGTCAGTATTTATTGATTCATTTTACTGATAATTACACTGCCCTCATAGTAAGTCAAAGAATGTCAAGGTGACCGTGATGCCATCTGATTGCAGTATGTCTGTAATGTCACAATACATTTGTGTCTGCTAGTCATTCAAAGACAGATATATAAAGAGCATGAGTATGTTTAAAAAGTAGACTATTGACTTTATTAGTAATCTGTTATGTCAAATGTTTCATTACTCCCTATATTATATGTCTGATACAATGTTATTGTCTTGGAGAATGCTATTTATATTTTCCACCATTCCTAGTAAACTATTACTAATAACTGCTTATATTTGCATAGTACCTTTCACTATAAAGGTTCCAAAATCATCTAAAAGCTTTAAACTAGATATAAGAACAATTTCCCCACCATCACTAGTTCACTAGATATTCTAATTGAATAAGTTTTACTGTTGTAATTACAGGGGGGGATTTAGGCAAGCAATTACCCAAGTGAAATTACTCACGTTAGAATTTTGCAAGGACACCATGACCAGCACCCACTGTCTTTTGATACTCATGGTACCTAATAGGATTGAGTCCTCAGTTTTACATCACATCTGAAAAATAACTCCAACCATCAAGATACAGTGCTCCTTCAGGGATCAAAACTGGAGTATGTTTATCAACTCTTCTGGGATGAATGAACACTATTGGATTTCCTGTATCACCTTGATTTCTCTTGTCTAAGCACTAACCTAGCCCAAGCCTGATGAACTCATGAGATAGACGGTTTGGCTACAGGCCATCTTCG